GAGAGAATGAGAGGGAGGACAAGAGTGTGGTGCAGGGTAACGTCACTGCCAGGTGAGCAGTTGTGGCTCTCCAGATCTGTCTCAGCTTTGCTGGAGGTTTGCGCAGTTTCAATGGTTATAATCACTGGAACTCCCTTATGCTGCAGGCACAGCTAATGCCAGGGACCCCATCGCCCGGGACCGGCAGGACCCGGGGGAACCCAGCACTTTCTGGCATCCGCGGTACCCGATACCGGCGAGGCAACAGTGCACTGTGTGAAAAATAACACCTTTCCTTTATATAAAGTGATAAATTCATCAGATGCCTCCTACTTCTTATGCTGGAGGGAAACAGAATTTCCCCAGTTGCCTTTTTCACTTTGCCATTTCCAAGATCTCCACTGCATTCCCTTGTCAAGCAGCATTTTCCAATGGAATGCAGGTATTCTACCTAGTCCTTCCTTGAATGGAAGCCACCATCCAGGTCCAATCAGCCTTCGGAGTGTTTCAGTTTTACTTACCTTTTTGTGAAGTGTGTACAATAAAATGCCCATCTAATCCTAGCAGAAGTCTGAATAAACCTAAGTGCCTTCTGATAACCAAAAAATGCTTTCCATAAATAGACACATACATAGTCTATACACTCAAGAGTACTTCTCCAAGGATGTATCAGTTAGCATCTACAATTCTGAGAGTTTTAAATTATTCTGAGGTAGGGGCCAAATGTTGGTAGTTAAATATCCAAGTTCAATTCTTTCTTAAGACCTCAAAGATTAAATCTCTGCAACTGAGGGTTTTGACTGTGCTGTATCTCAGATTACTTAGATAAAAGCAAACAAAACAAAGGGACAAAATACACACAGAACTTACCACATAAGGTAGGATGTAAAAATCATGACAATGATGATGAGGAACCCACCAGCGGATACTCCATATACCCACATCTTCAGTCTACCATCTGTTGGAAGATGAGGAGAAAGCAGAGAGGGAGGGAAGACAAATGCAAGAGGTTTTATGTTAAAATACACAGACTCTTCATGGAATAAATAGAGACAAAATGTACAAGCAAAATTGATATTAGTTAGTAGGAAACACAGCAAAGACTGCCCAGGAACGAGCCACAAAGAGGAGGCTTTTGATGGACAATATTTTCCTGCAATCTTTTTCAAGGCAGAATTCTAACTTTGGTAAAGATCTCAGGCTTTGCTGATGAAAACTCAGAGGGAACCTTCAGCTCAGTGCTCAACAGCAGCACCTTCCCTCCGGCGGCGCTCCCGCAGCGCGTTCCCGGGAGCCGGTGCCGGTCCCGGAGAGGAGCAGGACACGGGGCAGGCACCAGGCACCAGCTGGGGGGTGGCACGGGCTGCGCCAGCCCCATGGAAACCCCGGGCACCCACGACGTGCAGCCCCGGACACGCAGACTGCAGGGGACGGCACCGTCCTCTGCAGGGTCACCAGGGGTGAATACCAGAGCGAACAAGCTACTTAGAGCTGAAAAAAATCACTTGGACAAGGGCAAATGGGAATAAATTCAGCTTAGAATAAAAATAGGAATAGGCTTTGTAAAGCTAAGAGGGATAAAGTTGTGCAATGGCTTTCTAGCTGGACCATGGGAGCAGGAAAAGTAACGAGTTTTAAGTGAGATCGGGCTCTCGTCAAGGCTGGTAGATTCAGGGTTGGACAAGAGTTTCTGCACGGACGGCTCAGCTTGAGCAGAGGGGCACTTCCCTGCTGTTGTGTTGATGGTTCTTGAATTAAAAGCTATGCATTAATAATAATCATTAAAAATAAATCAGCATTTTTGCTTCTTGCCCAGATCTGGACTTAAAGAATCTCTTGTAGATATAAACTACCTCAGAGCTGTGGTCTGCAGGACCAGCCTGAGAAGAAACCCACAGGGCTCCATGGCATTGCCCAGCAGACATGCGCCTACTTTGTTGCTCTGCCATTTACCTTTTCTGTAATGTTTCTGCCCCAAAATTAAATCATGCCATGCTTTGCAAAAGCTCCTTAGTCCTCCTTTCTCTCTACCTGCACCTGTGGGAGAAGCATCCACCTACTCCCCTCTCCCTTCCAGCCACCCCACAAAGTATCAGCTGAAGGCAGGACACCTAAGTAGTCTATAGACACCCACACAAAGGGAACTAACCCCAAACCTGTGACCCGAGGTGCCAGCAGACTGCCCAGGCTTTGGGATGATGAGCTTGATCTTAACCCAGCCAACTCTAAAAGCCTTTGGACTAAGCTCTGTTAGCTCTGAGACTGTCAACGCAAAGGGTAACTACCACGTGCAAATCAAATATGTAAATGTAACATTCAAAGCGCGATCACATACATGGCCCCCGCAGCAAAAACTTCACTACATGTTGTCTAAAATCCCATGTTCATTACAAACTAACAGGAAACAAATGTGGTGTTACATCCCAGAGAAAAGGGAAGGAGGCACTGGGAGGGTTTTAGGGCATGGGGAGAATTAATGCATTTTGACAGGCCTCACACTGCTTTCTCCCATTTTAAAGTTTAATTCCTATGTTAGAAATTTATTTTGAATAAGTTTATGTTGTGCAAAAGATTTTAAAATGAGAAACTCACAAAAAAAGCTAATAAAACTAAGTGACAAGTAATCTCTCACCAGAGAGAGATGAGGTTAAGACTCACTGTTTGGGTACCATAGCTTGCCTGTTTTGGGGAAGGGGTGAGGGGAAATCTTTTTTTAATTATTATTTTAATGTCTTAATCTCAACACTTAAAAATACAGCCTCTTCAACTTTCCATACATTTTCCACTTTTTTTTTAATATGCTTTTGAAATGTGCCAAGAAAAAAAAAAAAAAACTCTTCTTTTATGAAATTTTAACATGTACTCTGCTCTCAGCCTTCTGAAGTGTTAGCGATCAATGTCTTTCCTGGTCTGAACACAGCATTTGTAGAAACATCATCAGATAATAACAGTAAGCATTCCCCCCCAAACACACAGGAGTATCCTTTTTCAAAATATTATTGCCTCATTTTGTCTCTGCTATCTCTCAGCACAAAGGATTATAATTACTCTATATAGCCACAAAGGAAGGAAGGATGACACACAAGTCAGCAATTGTGAGAGGGCTCTGTGGCTCCCAGCCACAATCTCTGATGTTATGATCTACAAAGCAAGTATCTTTCCTCCACAGAAATGTTGTAAAGAAAATTTATTCCATTCATATTTAAGTTTTTCACCTGGATTAAAAGGTTGAATAGACCATCCTTTGAAAATGTCATGCATTTTCGAGTTGACAGGTTTATTTTTTCCAGCAATAGTCTTAACATCAGCTTTCTTATCTTCTAAACCTGGTACCTTCATGCAGTAATCCAGGAAGCCATTTGATCTCATTATTTCTGTATATCCTCGCTCACATCCGCAGACTCCTTTCTAGGTGACAAAAAGGAATTTGATATTTAAATAGTATCCTCCAGCCCAACAGTGCAAATTGTAGGTAAACTATGAAGAAACTGCAAGGTACTTCCTGCATATGTAATCAGCTCTACCAAAACAGAGTCCCTGCAAATCCACTTCAGAGCAAAAGACAACAGGTATAAAAGATACTGGTTGAGAAAGAGTCGGTAATTATAGAAAAGACCAACATGAAGCCATTTTCACGCATTTCCATCCTAACAGGCTTAATCATAGGCATCTGTGGCTTCATCCACAATCCCCTGTCATCAATAAAACTTTTAATGCTAACTAGGCTGGACAGTAGATAAGACTAACAAAGAAACAGTCTGACTCCAGATCCAAATCCTCTATTTCAAAGTACTTCCATTCCAATATTTCTTAAAATGAAGCACTGTCTTTATGACTTTATCCATTGACTTGTATCAATCTAGACAGCTTTTCCTAGAGGTTCCTTATAAGTCTGTCACTCACTAAACAGATACTCGACCTTCTGGTTGTCTACTTTAATACAGCTTTCTCACGTTGCCTTTCTTTGCTAATTAGTTTTTAATCTGTCTGAGGGTCTGATATTCTTTATGATCCAAACAAGTGAATGATTTACATTTTTTTGTGATCAGAAGTTAACTCTTAACCTCAGCATTTTGCCACAACCTCCTCATTTTGTTGGTAGATGATCCTGAGCTTTCCAGAGGCTTTGGGCAGAAAATGGAATCTTGAGAGTTTTCACAGATAAAAATGTCATTTTACCCATCACTTTTATGTCTCTCCAGGCTCTCAGTGGCCTCATGGCCATACTCGATTGCCCACAAAGTCGTCTCCCGTGTGCTCGTCCTCCCACGAGACACCCAGCTGATGCTGAGGCTGTTTTCAGAAGCAACTATTCCCCAACGCCAGCCTGGCCAGTCGAAGGGATCTGTCACACTGTGACACAGAGACTAACAAAAGGCCCTTTTGGGAAGGTTTTGCACTGGAGTGCAGTATTAGAGGATGTGCCACTCTCGACCATCTGTGCCTAGAGTTGGCTTGGGGACAAAGCAGAGAAAATGGCTTGGTGCTTCAGGAGGTTTTGCGGACGCTGCACATTCCAGCAAATGAGTCCCTTCCAGGTTTTGTTTTAGGAGGTGGCATAGGGATGGTGGGATCATGATACCACAGACCCTGCGGGCTTCTGTATCCACGGGGGAGAGAAAAGGGAAGTACTCTTTATTCCCTCCCACATCAACTCTAAGCAGGCCTTATTTGCTGCATGACATAATAGAACTTAATGAGAGTTTAACTAAGTGGTTCCAAAACTGCTCTGCAAAAACAAACCCAAAATAACAACACCATCACTTGGCACAGATGTGTAAAGGTTTCCTTTCAGACTGAAATTCCTGCAACTTCCTCGAGGTGGTATCATGTGCACACCAGTTTCGAAGGACCTAAAATGCATCTGAGATACAGAAGATAATTGAATAGATTTTGCAGTGTTAATTCCTCAAGCATATTCTGTAGCAACTAATTACCTGTGTGCAATAGGAGAAGGGTTTCCTGCATGCTGGACTGCAGTGCTGAATTTCAGCTGGTTTGGTCTGAAGAGAACACCCTCCTGCAAAAGAAATTACCGAGCACTTCTTTAAAGGGTATGTTCTACAATGTTTACAATGTTTTTGCTTGGATCACTACAGTGTACTTATTACTTGCTTGCTTATTTTATATTGTTAAATACTTGTCTATTAAGCTCATTAGCATAATATCAGTAGACATCACATTAATTAATTTGCCTTAACAAGGCAGGAAATTATTATCATATCCATCTTACTAATTGAGAATGGAGATATCCAGAATTAACAAATTTGCCACAAGCCACATAGAAAGTTGGGGACAGAATTAGATGCAGATAATCTTCAGCCCCATTAATGTCTTATCTGCATCAGAAGACAATTGCATTAACACCTTAGCCCATCCTTCCCACTTGGGGAAATTCTGTGCTTCTAAAGGCATAAAAAAATGTTAATGTGTTCTTAACTACTTGGCAACCCTTGCACATAAGAATTTGTATATTATTGTAATAAGTCACATAAATAGAACAAGGATGTGCAAGGCCTATTGCCTTTGCCAAGAAGTCATGGAGCTTCAAAGTGCTGACCATGAATTTCACTTTTCATCATGTACAGGAAGACTTTGTAGGA